GTCATGGGCAGGGTGTATGGGGAGGGTGTGCGCTCTGCCATGAGGAAGTTTGACGTAAAGACACGTCCCAGGGGCATTTCTGGTCCCAAAAGGTGTTTCTGGTCCCCACCTGTCGTTTTGCTCCTCAGCATGGCTGCCTAAAAACGCTGCAGGATTTCTCAAACATGCGTGAATGAGTCAAAGCAAGGCTTTGGGCATGTTTTTTTTAATGAGAGTATAACATTATAACATGATATAAAACTCAAAAACGTTGATTTTACATGATATTGCGCCTTTAAACCTTTTCCTACAACCACATCAACTGTGGAAAATCAAAATAAGAAGACRTGTAAATGAAAGGTAGAGGAGATAGGAAGACAAGAACTGACTGAGACTGAAAAACTGAAGACGAGCCAAAAAGATAGCGGGCACAGTCTTAATGACGGATTTTACTTACAACTCAGGAGGTWGTGACRTGAYAATTAYAGTTTGGTCTTAAACTACTTWGACTCCAACTTTCCCAGATTTTTAAATCTAATCTTTCTTTTAAAGAACATGTTGGAGTAAAAAAATATCAGAGCTGTTTTGCAGCAGTGGGGTCAGATAGTTCTCAGGAGCTTGGCGGTTTCCTCAGTTACCACAAAGCAACTCAGACTCACAGCTGTTAACGTTCTAAATTATGGGATTGGAAGGATGACAAATAATCATCTGAGCGTCCCACGGCTCCTGATATCCCTAAAAACTAAAAGCAAATTTGAGGGGTGAATTCAATGCTTTCGACTTTTGACCTTCTTATGGTCAAGCTAAAGAAAACTCCTGTCGCAAAGACGTAGTATCTCCCCCTGCAAACAACTGTTTTATGTTTCCCTGCATGAGCTCTGACATCCGTCAAGCCAAAGGGTCCTTGAAACATCTGTGTTGTGATTGCCGAAAGCTTGATCTCTCCTCCCCCTAGTCTGAAGACCTGCATTCCACCCATTCTTACACCAAAGATCCAGATTACTCCAACATATATGCACACATGCAGGTAGAGGAGTGGAACCTTTGGAGCGAGTGGTGCAGAAATGCAGAGCTTATGAACAGGAACTCTTCCTGTTTTTGTAAATTTAAAACTCCTTRTGAGATACTTTAAATCAAATACTTGCACTTTTCTGGACACGTACTTGTTTGTGGGACCTTATTTCATAACCACTGATGTTCTGAGAATGACATGCTAAAGCCAGTTAGCAAAAAGCCACGCCACTCTATCTCTTCACAACTCCATTCCACAGCTGTTAAAATTGAGTTCACAGAGGAATAAAAACCCAAACTGTCATCGACTTTGAAAAAAAATGGAAAATGTGTTTCAAAACTTATGCCAAGTCATGTCAACCCATCCTGGCTAGATGTGGCAAAAACAGGCCCAAAATCTCCATACCACCATGATCATTTTCTACAGACAGGAAACAAAAGGAATATCCCATAGCTTCTTCTACCTTCTGGTTAAACAGTTCTCTTGGCAATGAGACAATGAAGTCACTATTTGAGGAGGTGACAACAGAATGTCAAAATCGCCAAAGGATGTTGGGCACAGAAGCCAAACGTTCTTGTCAATGAT